CCCATCACCAAGTCCCACCCACATACCCCATTACAGTCACTGTTCATCAGGGTAGTAAGATGCTATAGAATCACTACTTTTCTTCTCTGTGTTGTACAGCCCTCTCTGTGACCTCCCCCCCACATTATACATGCTAATCATAATGCACCCTTTCTTTCATTTTTTTTTTTTCCCCATGCAAGAGATTATATTATCTGAAAGAGAAAATGGCTGCCCCCAGAGAGAGGGTGCAGCAGCTCATGGGTGAGGAAGTGCGTTTTTAAGGAGTAGGGGTAGGGGGTGTTCTGCGTTGGTAATTGGATCTTAAGGGGTGGATGACCATCTGGTCAGTAGTGATTGGATCTTAAGGGGTGGGGGTCTTAGGGTGCCAGAATTTGCCTTCATTCCCATCTTTTTCTTTTCTTTTCTTTTTTTATATTCATTTTATTATCATTAACCTACAATTACATGAAGAACATTATGGTTACTAGACTCCCCCCTTCACCAAGTCCCTGCCCCACAAACCCTATTACAGTCACTGTCCATCAACATAGTAAGATGCTGTAGACTCACTACTTGTCTTCTCTGTGTTGCACATCCCTCCCTATGTCCCCCCACATTATACATGCTAATCGTAATACCCCCTTTCTTCTTCCCCACCCTTATCCCTCTCTTCCCTCCCATTCTCCCCAGTCCCTTTCCCTTTGGTAACTGTTAGTCCATTCTTGTGTTCTGTGATTCTACTGCTGTTTTGTTCCTTCAGTTTTTCTTTATTCTTATAGGCCATATATGAGTGAAATAATTTGGTATTTGTCTTTCTCCACTGGGGCTTATTTCATTGAGCATAATACCTTCTAGCTCCATCCATGTTGTTGCAAATGGTAGGTTTTGTTTTCTTCTTATGGCTGAATAATATTCCATTGTGTGTATGTATCACATCTTCTTTATCCATTCATCTACTGATGGACACTTGGGCTGCTTCCATTTCTTGGCTATTGTAAATAGTGCTTTGATAAACATAGGGGTGCATCTGTCTTTTTCCAACTGGGCTGCTGCATTCTTAGGGTAAATTCCTAGGAGTGGAATTCCTGGGTCAAATGGTATGTCTATTTTGAGCATTTTGAGGAACCTCCATACTGCTTTCCACAATGGTTGAACTAATTTACATTCCCAGCAGCAGTGTAGGAGAGTTCCCCTTTCTCCACATCCTCGCCAGCATTTGTTGTTGTTTGTCTTTTGGATGGTGGCCATCCTTACTGGTATGAGGTGATATCTCATTGTGGTTTTAATTTGCATTTCTCTGAGGACTAGCGATGTGGAGCATCTTTTCATGTGTCTGTTGGTCATCTGAATTTCTTTGGAGAACTGTCTGTTCAGCTCCTCTGACCATTTTTTAATTGGATTATTTGCTTTTTGTTTGTTGAGATGGGTGAGCTCTTTATATAATTTGGATGTCAACCCTTTATTGGATCTGTCATTTATGAATATATTCTCCCATACTGTAGGATGCCATTTTGTTCTGTTGATGGTGTCCTTTTGCTGTACAGA